ATGAGAGTCAAGTGTCATTGTCTTAGGGTTCTTTGAGTTTCACATATCCATTGATCTGCTACTATAGGGTCATCCTCACTAGACTAAAAAAACTATACGATTTTGTATTACCTGAGGCGTCCACTAGTGTTTCAAGCGTTGGAACCGAATGAGGGACAACGAGGGGAGGTTTGGCTCTAGGTATGGCCCTCACTATTCTTCGTAAGGTTGCGTTTAAGTTTTGGAAATACGCCACTTTATCAACCCTGGAGTCTCCCTCGTGTCCCGCTTCCCTAGAATCAGGGATAAATTCATCTTCCAAGTCATTTGAGAGGGATGCTTGGCTTTCATTGCGAACCTCTTAGCTCCTATCAGGTTCACTTGTCATTCTTTATATACTTCTACAATAATAAAGACAAAGGAAAATACCATCAGAATCCCAAATATATGAGCGTACATCTGACTCTAGGGCTCGTATCCATGTATTTAAAGACAACATTGAAGATGATCTTAGGATCGATTCAATCTGACGCTCTGATATCAATAAATATAACACCCAACACACTACAGGTTCATGGTGCCACCTTACCGTGATCGGCACAGACTTGTATACGAACCCAAATAAAATACAAACAATCATGTAAAATATTTGAGACTTTTATAAAAAAAAAAATACTTCATTAAAAGACAAAGATCCACAAATCAAACATTTTACATAATAAAGTATACTTCAACTTCCATTACTCCTAATACAATTCAAAGCAAAGTACCTTCAAACTCATACAAATAGACATACAAGGATATGACAGGCTTAACAAAATAATCTAAAGGTGTACTCTGTAACGGCGTCGGGGATTCCCACAGTAATAGTTCTTCTAGCGGATATCTACTTCTACTAACCTAAGAAGGAAACATTTGAAAGAGTCAGAAACATTGCCCAGTAATGAACAAATGTTCTATATGGTTCATATGGTATTATTTCTGTAAGCAAATAAAAATATAAGCCTCATTATTATTCCGACTTCGTAATTAGCACTTCCAAGTTATACATAAAATTTCCTCAAAGTTCCCGTGTGATACACTAAAAATAATTATGATTAGGTGCTCTTGTGCATGTCACTCTAACCCTTCGGGGCTCTCGTGCGAGACACCTAGAATATTTATAATTAGGTGCTCTCATGCGAGTCTCTACATTACGGGGCTCCTTTGTGAGACACCCGAAATAATTATTATTAGGTGCTCTCGTGCAAGTCAATCTAACCCTCCGGGGCACTCGTACGAGACACCCAAAATAAATATGATTAGGTGCTCCTGTGTGAGTCACTCTAACCTTTCGGGGTACCCGTGCGAGACACCCGGAATAAATATTGTTATTCATACGGTTATATATATATTATTGATCTACTTTTAACTTTCCCTCTAATCTTTATTTGATTCATTACCTCATAAATATTCAATTTTCCCATTCATTTAATATCAACTCTTTCTTAACAATTCCATCTTCAATGCACAACAATATTGGTACTCCTATGTGAGTATCAATACTATGCTTGATGGGTATTGGTACTCTTACCAGTATGATACCAAAATGACATTCCAGAATTCCTAAAATTTGTAACTTTTTATGAGGTATCGGTACTAGCAACTTTCATATTGGTACTCACTCACTAGTATAGATACTGTGATCTACGATATTTGTACCGCTCTGATATTTTTGCCCAATTTTTAAAAAAAAAATCTCCAGGGTACAGTATCAGTACTCATACCCAGATTTTCACTTTTTAAAAGGCTTGAATGTTGTTATGGTCTCACAATCCCTTCCATCCATGCTTAACTCATTAAAGGTATGTATTTTACACATTTTACAAAATTATAACACATGAAACACAAAGAACAAGAGTTCATTACCTCTAACAAAATGGTTATTGATTTAAGCTCATCCCTTTTACCACCTTAAACCTTCTCCTTGCCTTTTGGATTAGATGATCCTCCAACCTCTTTCTCTTGCTTAGAAATCTTGAGCATTAAAAGTCTTTATTAGAGTAAATGAACTCAAAGGAAAGTTACAGAAGAAAGGAAAATGTTAGCTCTCTTTCCTTAAGTTTTGTAGTTTATATTCCCAAAAGTTGGAAAAATCTACTTAAGGGATTATTTCCCTTATTAGTCCTCACATCTCCACATTTCTACCTTTCACTCCTTTGGGCTTTTAAGTTCGGGCTCCTTTTAAAAATACAAATTCTTCTAATAACCCGATCCAACTCCTAACTTCCTCATTTTCATCCATCTTTTTAATTTGGTTTTTGTACCTAACCATTACATAAGTTGTGGCATTATGGATGGCAATCTGATCGGGCTCCAACGAGTCTCGACCTGATTGGAGCAAATGATTTCTTTTAAATTTTAGGTTCTGGTCGAATCAAGTCGGATTTATTGAATAATTTTTTTACTTTGAGTCGGGGACGGATTTAGGGTTAAGAATCTCTTACCCGACTCATATATTTTTAGTTTTATTACATAGTTTAAGTTATTTACAAAAATGTCATCTATATATATAATGCTTTAAGGTTTCTCTCATTTCATTTTCCTTCTTTTCTGTCGCAACTTTTAATATTTTTCTCAATTTATTTCTTTTTCTTTCCTCGTATTCTCTCTTTCCATTCAAATATTGAAATGTCAATAATTTTTCACTTTTTCTTGTTTCTTTATCTGGATGATCAAATGTTATCTTTTTCAAAAAAAAATTGCTCCTTTTTCTTTTGTTCAATTTTATTTTAACTTTTAGAGCTATTTGATTCAAAAATTTGGGTTTTTTAATTTATTAATTATTTTTCTTTTTCCTTTTTTTTTAGATTTTTTATCTATATTTCTTTGTAATATCTATTTTTGTTTATTGTTTCTTTTTACTTTGAGTATATGTTGTAAAAATCATGATTAATTTGTATTGTAATTGTTTTCTGTTGTAAAAGCTAAGTTTACTTTTTTTTACATGTGAAGACAAAAATGAAGACATTATGGTAGATGTTTAACTAAATTAAAAAACAAAAATATTTAGTTTAGGGATTTAGTGTATAATTGTATTTTTTTGATGAATTGATACTAAAAAAATGAGAAAACGGCGGTGTTAACGATTTTTTAATTTATTTTTAATTTATTTTCAATTGTATTTGTTTGGTCGATCAGGTTTGATTGAATTCAGGTTGATGTTTTATTTTTGGAGTCGGGATCAATCGGGTTAAATAATAATAAAATCGAAGTTAGGTCGGAATCAATTTATGATTTTACTTTCTCAGGTTGGAGTCAGAGCCGTCAAAAAATTGATCTGATCTAACCCGTTACCGTCTCTATGTGACATTAGAGTTTACAAAATTTAAGGTCACTTCGATGATCTAACGTAGTTCTTATAAATTCGATGATCTAACGTAGCTCTTATAAATTCGATGATATTTTAAAATCAAATTTGAGGTGTTACAAAAACACATTCAAAATCTTCTTTCTTCATCTCAAATTAAAGGAAATAAGATGAGGATAATTTTCTATTTCTTGATTGAAGTAAAATTCCATATACAAATGGAAGAAATTTGAAAAAGAAGGGAGAGGCTCTCTTACCTTCATCAATGGAGTCAACTTGCGGGGAAAATATGAAAAATAATGGTTCATGTTCATTGTTTGTGTAAATATCCATAAAGTATTTGGGTAAATTGTTTAATAAATACTCAACTCTTCCCTAATTTTTTTCTTAGAATCCATGTACTTCCTTTCTTCCAATTAAACACTTAATCTCCTAAAATTATACTACACATGACTTTAACTTTTAATAATCTTCTAATTAGTCTTCAACTTAAAGAAAATTATATATTTAGTCCTTTAGAAAAATTGAAGGTGTTACGAAATGCTTGAATTTAGTGAATGCATATATTAGGATGAATGAATATAATTATTCTAATAATCACTTATAACTTTTATATAAAGGATTGTAACTAATGAAACAATGAAAGTGTAATTTACTTTAATAATTCTCTTCCCCTCATCAAAATTTATTTCTCTTCCACATTTCTCCAACATTGCATGTTTTAGTTGTAGCGTTGAAGCTCGCATGAAATACACTCATTCTAGTGAAAGCTTAAAAGTAAAGCCTATTGTAATTTTTCAGTCCATGTATCTATTGATACAAGGGAGTATTTGGTTCGGATCAGTTTTTTAATAAAATATGAATTTAATTACACTTCGTGAATTTAGAAATTGAAACAGAAATCAAACCTGAATTGCATAAAAATCATTTTTCAATTCGGTTCGATTTTACGATTTTTAGCTGTTCACTATTTCTCTGGCCTTTTCTCTCAAAAAATATACCTTCACCTGAAATAGCTAGAGCTAAAGTAGGATTTCTTTTTTAAGTTTTATTTTTTTCCTATCTGGATTAGAAAATCTTTAACATAACCTTAAGTTTTATTAATATCTAGAGAAATTATGAGTTTAAATAAGTTGTAACCCATGATGGATAGAGAGATGTTTTCGGCATTTTGAAAATGTCATATTCTCATATATTTTAAGTATTCCTTTTGTATATTTTCATTGAGAATCTATTTTTATTTCTTTAAAATTTTATAAGTTTATCTCCTCTTAAAATATTAAAAAATCTCCTACGTAAAATCATGTATTCGTTCATGATGGCAAGCAAGTGCCCGGAGAGAAGGGTATTAGGCTTACATTGTTCATATAACATAAGCAAACAGTAGAAGATCCAAAAATCATTCACAAGATATGCATCCAACCAATCTACATGTGACACAATTTTATCCACATTTCCACGTAGACAACTAGCATTAAAAGGATTCTTGGCAAAATAATTGAAAAGATATAAAACAATGATCAAAGTAAATGTAACAAGAAAATGCTAAATAAATACTTCAACCCAAGAACACCCACACCTACACCCCATTCTTTGTGTGGGGAAAAAATATACTCAAGTGATAAGTCTTGATGGATACCCATTTATCACATATAAACGAGAGCTAAAACATTACAAAGACCAACCTAGTTAAATTTAAACACTAAGGAGATGGATTGAGCTCTTACCGTTAACATTAGGGATTTAAATTATGATTGCGGCTGTGGTTATGTTTTCGGTTGCATTGCGCTTAACTCAATTACAGATTCTATTTTGGTAATTTTAGATATCATGATTATACAGTAACCATTTTTGAATGGTACTGCTACCACTATTCTGTGGACCGCTACTTAAATCCCTTATCCACATTGTTGGAGTACCTGCAAATAACTTTGGACTTGACTACATTGCCATAGACATAGAACCCTGGTGTGATCATGATTCGAACAATACTCGGAACCAATTTTCTGGCTCTTTCTCCATCCATGTCCTCCATGTATACTGAATCAAAGCTCACCCCTTTATCTACCCTGAAAATTGGTAAGCCAGGGTGCAACGAGTTGGCCAAGAGGTGCACCAACCACACACTCTTTGACGCACCAAAAAAGGCTTGCAACAATGGCTCAGGCCAAGCTCGGTTCCACCCCAACATAGCCACTATTTCATTCATTTTCCTGTCACAAAACTTGCTGAACTCCTCACTGAAATACCTTGTTCCCTTGTTCAGAACCTCCTCCCATGTCAAGCCTTGTAAATTACTGAAGGACGCGTAATTAGCTTCGCAACAATCGATGGGGTTCAGTATCTGGTTCACCGCACTCTTTTGAAACCCGATCGATTCAAAGTCTTCGAAGAAAGCTTTGTTCAAGAGAGCTTCGAGGTAGAGAATAAGACCTTTGGGGTTCTTGGAGTGAGAAATCTTGGTGTCGTGAGGCTGTAAAAGCACAGATATCCTCTCATAAACTTTGGTACCCATGTGCCTTAACTGCATGGTGAGTGACCTACTCAAAAGCCTGATTGAAGACCTAGCTTCAGAGACAGAAACCAAGAATTGTTGAATAACTTTCTCATTAGCTCCAATTACCCCATCTTGATGAACATTATGGGTTTTGCCAATTCTATAAGGAGAGTTGCTGTTGCATTCATCAAGACCAGACTTGAGATTGTGACAGTAAACTTCAAGCTTGTTAAGCTTCTTCTCAAGCTCAGCCATGGAATATTTTAACCTCGAAGCTTCAAGCAATGCTTCATCTCTCTTTCTTGTAGCTTGAATGAGCTTGTGTGACAGTTCAGCCGCGGCAATTTTCCACTCTTCTTCTCTGGCTGTAGACACATCAGTTGATTTTGGACTCTTCCTTGTTAAAGAATGGAAAATGGACTTGAAAATCCCATTAGGACTTGCCATGGAAAAGGAGTGCTTATTAACTCCATTATTATCCAAAGGAACCACGGAGATCTTCTCCTTAGAGTTTGGCCTGCAGTTGATGCATGAAACCGAACCATTCCCGCCGCCGCCGCCAGTTCCACCTGATTCCGGACGTTTCCTGGCGGTGGGTTTTCCAACGATATTGTCACGAAGGGGCGTTGAGAGGTGCGTCGGGGTCAACCTTTTGTCTGTATTTACACTTGGGGTACCGTCTTCTTGTTCCTCCCTTTCATATTCTTGAATCTGTTGAACAAAGAAAAGGCAAAAGAAATGAACTTTATCATCAGACAAATCAAAGAAGAAACAAGTAGCAATTTTTTTTCTTGGGAAACAAACAGAATTGTAAAGGAACTTACTGGAGTGAAAAGAGGGGACTGGTGAGGTAGCGTTGTAGCAGGAGGAAGTGACTTGGAAGAAGAAGAATAAGAAGACGAAGGAGCCATTTTTTTGTTTCGTTTTTATTTGGTTTTTACAGATATATATGACCTTGAGAATGAAGGACACGATTCAATGACGTGGGGCTATCTGATATTTGAGGTTGAAGGGGATAATCTTAATTTATATACTTTTACTAAGAAGACTAGAAGAGGAGAATTTAAATGCTATAAAAAAGTAATCCGTTAAAAAAAATTAAGATAAAGCACATAAATGATCTTATTTTGGTATATTCTTTTGTTGAGCTTCTTGAGTATATGATATTATTTTAAGTTTTTTAATTATTAAAAGTTATAAAATGATTATTAATTATTTATATATTTTAAAATTTTCCTTTTTTTGGTTAAAATTTGATGGACGTCTAAACTAGATGTTAACACACTAACTAAGATATAAATAAAATTTAATCCTAAAATTGATTGTTAATACCTAATGTAGATGTTAACACACTAACTAAGATATAAATAAAATTTAATCCTAAAATTGATTGTCGATACCTAATGTAATGATAGTCAGTTTTTAAAATAAAAATGATAATATTAGAACATTTGAATAGTCAAACTATCATTTCGTAACTTTTAATAATCAGAAACTCAAAAAATACCTTATAATTGAAGGACTGATTTATAACTTTTAATAATCGAGAGACTCAACAAAGTAATATCTTATAGTTAAAGAATCATTTGTATACTATATCTAAAAAAGTATACTTTTTATGTCCCATTAAATGTATCATTTTTTATTTTAAAAATTATCACATTCAAATTAGGTGATTTTCCCGAAAAATCACTCAATTAATCATTATTTCCATGTCAGACACTATTCATACTTTATTTCTCAATCTAACACCCTTTGCAGAAAGGCGCGACCCCTAGACCGCGCCTTATGCTGATCTGGCGTCAAGTGGGTAAGGCACCCCCACAACACGCCTTGTGAAACATATAAAAAATTCGAGTGCTATTTTTGTAAATATTTTTAAAATAATGCCTAATACGTAATTAATTTTAATTAGGGTGATATTTATGTAAAAATGTCAACTTTATTTATTTTTATTTTTTGTGTGTGAAAAAACTTTTCTACAATAAAATCTTTAAATATTCTTTTACAATTTATTTTATAACACGATAAATTTTGATTTTTACATAAAATTATACAATACATATAATATAGTATAAGAAAACTTTGAGGTTAAATATTTTAAAATATGAATAATTTTATAAAAGTTTTATACTTATTATTTATTTTACAAAATGGTGATGATGATAATAAATATTTTATAATTTAAAAAAATTATAAATTTCATATATTTTTAAAAATTTTATTGACTTTTAAAATTAATTGTTTAAAAATATAAAAAATATTAAAATAAACTTTTAATTACAATTGACTTTTGCAATAAAAGTCACTCTACTTTTGATTTTTCTATGTGCACGTGTGCAACTATATTCAACATAAAAGAATTGAAAAAGAAATGAGCTCATACGCGGGATAAAATAATGAGATAAAATAGTTTTTTTGTGAATATTGAGCAGAAAATATCAACTCTTTGATCGAATGTTTATTCGTGGTACAATTGAGTTGATATTTAAATAACAGTTAGACAATTTTGAGTCATTGACTTTGTACGATCGAATTTTCATTTGATTCATGTAGCTTTCCACACCTACGACTGTTTAACAATTATAAACTTGACTTAAGATCTTGAGAATAGAATATTTTAAAATTAATTGTTTAAAAATATAAAAAAATATTAAAATAAACTATTAATTACAATTGAGGGATCAAATGAATTATTATTTATTAATTATTATTTTTAACAACAGTTAATAATGTTTATTTATTTTTAATAAAATTAAATTTTAATATTTATTTTATATTTTTTAAAATTAATATTAGAAAGACTATTTTAAATAAAAATATAATATTTTTTAGCTTTACATTCTATTTTTATTGAATTTTAATTATTTTTTATTGTATTTTTATTTATTTTTAAAAAATAAATAATAATTCATTTGATGTCTCAATTATAATTAAAAGTTTATTTTTATATTTTTATATTTTTAAACAATTAATTTTTAAAGTCAATAAACATGATTAACTGTTGTTAAAAATAATATCACATAAAAATAAATAGATAAAGTTGGCGTTTTTACGCAAATATCACCCTAAAAGAAATTAATTACATATTAGGCACTATTTTAAAAATATTTATAAAACTAACACCCATATTTTTTACACAATTAAAAAAGGCGTGTTGCAAGGGGCGCTTTACCCCACGTGGCGTAAGGCAAAAGAAATTAATTACATATTATGCATTATTTTAAAAATATTTATAAAACTAGCACCCGAATTTTTTACACAATTAAAAAAGACGTGTTGCAAGGGGCGCTTTACCCCACGTGGCGTAAGGTGCGGTGTAGGGGTTACGCCTTCATGCAAAGGGTGTTAGATCGAGAAATAAAGTCCGAACAATGTCTGATAGGGAAATAATTATTAATTGGGTGATTTTTTGAAAAAATCACCTTCAAAATATGTCACTCTTTTATAACTATCAAATTTATCAATCATATTTTAGAGATAATTTTATTATTATTTTTGATTAAATATATTTCTTAATTTTATGTATATAGTCAATATAAGATAAAAGAAAAGTTCTGGTTGTCCTTTTGATTCTCGAAATTTTGTTTTGATTAATTCGACCAAAAACCAAAATCGTGTATCTAATTTTGGTGAGTGAATTTATTTATGAAAAATTTTACATAGACAAAAATTCAAACTTAAAATTTATTTAAACGATATCAAATTATTTATCATTTGAACCAATTCCGTTCGTCAATATTAGATAAAACTATGTGATTGGGAAGTAACATTTAATTAGATTTAATTTAGATCAAGGTGAAGTTTTTCATACAATTGATTGATCGTTTTCTATCGTTATCGGAAGTGGGTTGATTTTTCGTCGTGTTGTAATCATGGTTGTGATTCAGAGGTGCAATGTTACCATGCGCGGTCAAATGAAATTGACATTTCATTGCATTCAGATTGATTTTTGTGCCCTCACTCCTTGATCCACGTCACTACACCACTTTCATTGTGAACTGAAAAAAAAGAGTATGAAATTTAAAGATTCAGAGGACCGAAGACACTAAATTACAAAATAAATCTTTCATACTTTTAGAACACTTATCAAAACTAATATTAAAGTCGTCCTTAACTAAACATTACAATTGCATGAAACTTACTACAGTCTGCAGTAGTGTTCAATTAATTTGTAATTTAATTAGCTCAGGCGATTTTTGTAGTAAGTTTAAATATAGGGTAAATTATAAATTTCATCATTAAATTTTAATCTCTCTTCTATTTTTCTTATTAAACATTAAAAAATTTCAATTTTCTCATTGAATTTAGCATATGATGTCGTTCTTCACCTATATGTAAATACCATTAGTAAATAAATGACTAAATTGCCAAATAAAAACCTCAATGTATTAAGTTCAACGAGAAAATTAAAAAAACAAATTAAAGTACAGCGAGAGAAAGAATAAAATCCAGTTACCAAATTTATAATTTACCCTATATAAATTACTTAGCGAAAGGGATTCACTAGGATGAGAGTATTTACCAAACCACAATGATGAAAACAAAGAAGTGAATTGCTATAGTTAATGTTATTGTTGCATTAAATAAAAGAAATGATATAAAGAAGTTTACACCTTACAACTACCAAGGAACATCCGATGACCTTTCACACCCAATTTACCGTTAATAAAGATCTTGAAAATACTTCATCTCTCTTAATAGGTGCATTAAATAAAAGAATAGAGCCTTCTGAAATTCTTTAAATACACCACACTGAAGACACTAGTTTTTTACATTTGGTTTTTTTATTATATTTATTATATTTATTTTTATTACTATTATATTTATTTTTATTATTAATATTATTATTATTATTAATATTATTATTTTATTACAGATACAACCCAAGGCCCAACTCTGGCCCGATTACAAGGTCCGATCAGAAATGGCTCAAGCAGAACCCTAAACCCAACTAGGGTTTGTGTTATCACTCCCAGCTGCCATTACTCACCACCGTTGGATCTGTCCTTGATCCAACGGTCCCCAGATGCTCCATCAAGAAACCCTAGGGTTATGATAACCCTAGGAACCACGCGGCGCCGCCCCTGAAGCCAACCAAACCCACCGACTGTCTTCTACCAGGTGCCTCGTCCAGACGCCGTCTCCACTGCCAGATGGTCCAACCAGTTGCTACCGACGCTGCTGCTTCCACGACGCCGGCCTCGTCGAGCTTTCCAGAAGCCAGCTGCCTCACCAAATCAGTGCTCTATGGTGAGTCACCGCCATAGCTTGGTGACTCACCAAGGATGCTACCCATGGGACCGGTCCGATGAGAGCCTCATCGAGGCTATAAAGCCTTGGCTCACCTGCAACAAAAAAAAAAAAAGAGCAACAGACAGAGAGAACCCAGAAGACAGAAAAAGAAACAAAGGAGAGAGCAAGAGTCCGAGAGACGACAACAAGCAACACAAACGACAGCAACTAAGAGAGCAAAACAAAACCAACCACAGCAAAATAAACCCCACAACAGCGAATCAAAAACAAAAAAAAGAGAGGAAAAGGAGCTGTTTACCCTCGGAGAACCCAAACGCCGCCGAAAAACCTCGTATAAACCTCGGTAAAACCTTCGGTTATCGCGTAGATCTACTGATTTTAAGAGGGTTTTAGGACCAAAGGAGTTTAGATCTAGGTTCTGATGGAAAAGAGGGAAATTTTAGGGTATTTTAAATTTTTCGGCCACCGTGCAGGGTGTCAGTGCCGGAATAGGGCGGCCGGCCGGAGGCCTTAATAGAGAAAACAGAGAAAAAATTTTCTCTCTCAGTTAGAGAGAGAAAGAAAAGAAACAAATGAGAAACTTTGGCCCTTAAGGGCCGGTTATAGGGTATTTATACCCGATATAAAACGACGTCGTTTCATGATGAAACGGTGCGTTTTGGGAAGAGGGTAAACCACG